TTTCTGGATTTCTGTGTAATAGGGTGATTATTAATTCTATTCTATTCATTCAATTTATTTTGAATATGCGTGTGTGTGTGTTTGAAAAACTTTGGATTTTGATTATAGCTAGCAGAGGAGTTAAGACATTACTATTTAAAGACGGAAGGATGCATGGATAAACTGGTTATAATGATATTGGTATAAACATCATTATTATCGAAATTTTTATTTATACATGTTTATATTTGTAATATTATAAGGGGTTTTTTTATTTTAACAAAGCACATGTAGCTTGGTTGAAATTACTATAATTTTGTTAATAAAACAAATTTAGCAGAGAAATTATATATTGATGCGGGCATAATTAATTCAATACCAAAAAAAAAAAAAATTCGACAAATGAATATACATGACCTTTGATATTATATCATGGAATAAATATTCAGGCGATCTCATTTAACTAAAATACCAATTTTTGTTACCAATCCGATTGTGACAAGCATATGGATTTGAGCAACATTTATTATTATTAAAAAAAAATCTTGTTCTTGCTGACATGGAAGTAGAACTTAAACAAACCTCTGAATGGTCTAAGCTTGAAGAAAATACTCCAATCTCTAAAAGTAATATATGGGACGAAACACCTAGAGACTCGGAAGATTCAGTGACAGAACACCACGCAAACTAAATAGATGGGATGTTACTCCTCAAGTTTCAACAAAGAAATCTCGTTGGGATGAAACTCATTCAGATGCTCAAATTGGAGTCACGCCTGCTGGGAATTTGGGGTTAGTGACTCCTACCCCTGATAATCTCGTGCCTATGACGTCTGAAGGTTTGTTTCATAAACAAATTTTTTATTCAATAATGTGTTTAAGCATTTCAATAATTACAAAAAAGTACGACTATGGGAAAAAGATCTAGACACACGTAATAAATCTTTATCAGATGAAGTGCTTAATGCAACGTTTCCTTCAACTGGTTACAAAATTCTGGAACCACCATCAGGATATGTACCGATCAGAACTCTTGCTCGTAAATTGATGGCCACATCAACACCAATAGTAGGCGAAGGTTATATAATGTTAGAAGAAGATCTATGATTTACCTCCAGAAATACCAGGTGTTGGTAACTTGACATTTTTTAAACAAGAAGATAAGCAACACTTTGGTAAATTATTAAAAGATAAAGATGAAAGTGAATTACCTGTTGAAGAGTTGAAGGAACACAAGATTATGAGATTACTTCTTAAAATAAAAAATGGAACACCTCCAATGAGAAAAACTGCACTTCGACAAATCATGGATAAAGCTAGGAACTTGGAGCTGGAGCACTTTTTAATCAGATTCTTCCTCTATTGATGTCTCAAAATTTAAAAGATCAAGAATGTCATTTACTAGTTAAAGTAATTGATTGTATTCTTTATAAGCTTGATGCTTTGGTACGTCCATATGTCCATAAAATTCTTGTAGTCATTGGACCGCTTTTGATTGATGAAGATTATTTTGCAAGATTTGGTTAATAATTTTTATTTTTATTTTTCCTTCTTTAGAGTTCGTGTATTCAGGCAAGAGACACAAAATTGATTGTTCTTTAATCAAATTATTTAAGAAAATTAATAATTTATTGTTATACTGATTGTTATTATTTGAATTTTACATAAAATAGAGGACTGTGAAATTATAAGTAATTTAAATAAAGCTGCTGGATTACCAAAGATGATTTCTACAGTGAGAGCAGGTACGTATGTATGCGCACACATAAATATAACACATGCACATATTTTAATAAATATAATACTTATTTATTAATTATTTATATGATAAAAATACATAATAGATATTGAACATGTTGAAGAATATGTTAAATACACTACGGCAAGAGTCTTTTCAGTTGTAGCATCTGCACATGGAATTCCTGCAGTATTACCATTTTTGAAAGCGATATGTTAAAGTAAAAATCATGGCAAGCCAGACATACAGGAATAAGGATTGTTCAACAAGTAGCTATTTTGATAGGATTTCTATATTTATATTATTTGATTGAATCAGTGTTGATTATTTACACATTTATTTATACAGATAACATTTTTTTTTATAAATGTCTATATATTGGTATATTACACTTCGTACAATTTATATTATAATTGAACTGGATTGGATAAACATTCTGCCGACATTGCATCACAACGTCAATGAAAACAGGGTTTGATGGTTTGGTGCAGGCAAGAACCACTTTACAAATGCCATATAATGGATCAGTGAGTTCTGCAAGAACCATCCCATTATTTATATCTACATATAACGAAAAGTCTTGCTTGTCCTAGTATTAAATAATGCGTATAAGATATGCATAACAAGTTAAATAGCAACCACATTTTTTTAATATAAAGAAATCATTTAGTTTTAACTATCATTTTCTGTAACCAATTCATTTTTATTATAATATTGGCTATTATTTAATAACTTTACTTGTTGATAATAATTCTTTTTATTAAATTACTTTACGAAAACAAGACAAAAATGACTCAAGAGAAAGAAGTAGATGTATATAAAATGCTAATAATTTTACTTGTTCGCCCATTAATATTAATTAAAAATAACAAGGTCACCCACCACTTCACCTTCACCTCCATTTCCTGTGCCAATTCCTTCCGCCCCCACAAACTTCTATTAGTCCAAAGATAAAACCAACCAGCAAGAAAAATTTATGATGACAACGAATATACTTGTTGGAATTAATTTAATTGAAAAAAAAAACAGTGATTGCAAAAACAACACAATCAGTCATTGATCGAATGCAAAGAGTAGAAATTCCAGCAGAATCTAACACTGTAGGTATAATTCGAAACCTCAACAAAATAAACAATTGATAAAATTTTAACCAATGAACATGTTTCTATCATACACAGAAAAAATAAAATGACAAGGAAAAAAAGAAGACATAGTAAACCATCTATATACAAAAGGTATAATTCAATAATTTTATTGTTAATTTTAACATGCGTCGTTTAATAATGATAGGAATTTCTTCTAGTCCAAGTCTTGCTCCTATTACCTCCACTGAATCTTCCAATAGGTCACGATCGCCTAGCTATTAAAAGCGTTTCGGGTAAATTTATTAATAGGATTGGCACGCGTTATTGATTGAAGCGTTTAATTATTGAATCGTGTAACGAATATTTTTTTTGGAAAATTTCCGTGATAATCACCATTACTGTTTTAAAATAAATAATGAAAAAACCAATAAAACCCTAACTGAAGAATGTCCCAAAAAGTAAATCGGAGTTTCACGGGAATGAACTGACTTCTTAAGAATTGACAAGAATTATCCCAAGACCAGAACGTTTACTAAGTATTGACACATAAAAAACAATTATTTGTTTGAACGAATAAGAACAGGTAACAAAATTTTAACCCATACAATCGTTGATTGACCAACCAAAATCGTGAATTTGATAACGTAAAAATAAATGTGGATTTGATTCATTTTGTCAACAATCACTTTACCAACAATTGTTTCGTTAACAAATGGTTCGAATTTAAGAAGTTGGAAGCAACCATTTGAAATAGTCTAATAAATTAAA